TGAGATGTCGGGGGTGCGGGGTGGGGGTGGGGGGGTCCTGGGGGGGGCAGTTAGGGGCAGGGGTCCCAGGAGGGGGCAGTCAGGGGACAAGGAGCGGGGGGAGGGTTGGGAGTTCTGAGGGGGGGAAGTGGGAGGGGCATGGGCGGGGCTAGGACAGGGGCGGGGCTAGGGCGGGGCTCTTCCCGTCCTCTTTTTTGCTTGCTGAAATATGGTAACCCTACTGTACACAAAGAGAAAACAAGCACTTTTAGTCAGGATGACATTAAATTCCATTTGAGGGAAACAACAATAAAGAAGGAACAAACTGGAAGTCCCCATGAGAGACAGAATGAGTACAGACTGTTTCTCTGGAACACCCTGTGACGATTTGGGGAATCTGTCTACATACAATTTATGAATCCTGTTTCAGATTATGAACTCTGTATGTATCTTTACCAAACTGCACACTTCATTTTGATTGTAAGGCTAGTCTGTCTTCTCTGTTGTTTTTTTACTTCCATTTTGGGATGAAATTCCAAGAGGTGATGACACAGGGCTAGCAATGGAAGGTTAGTCTTCTATTCAAATGGGAAAAACCTGGAAAAAAGAAGGTGGCAAAACCAAGAAAACCCGGTTCTGCCAGGAAACCTAGTATTCAGGCAACAGATCACCTGGTGGTGGACTTTGAACATCTGACAAGGTCACATGACAGAGGAAACTGCAACTTTATAAAGACTCTCAGTAGCCATTTTAGAAAGAGGGGGAAGAGACCAGAAGCAGAAAGCAGTGCTGTGCAAGAACAGAAAGGTGAGGATCCTGGATACCCTAGAACAGCTTTAGCAAACTGAGGACCCCCATTTTTATTTACATTTTTTGCAGACCCCCCAAGCTCCCTGCTCAGCCCCAGGTGCTGCCACCCACTCTATCCCTTTCCCCAAGGCCCCACCCTGCCCCACCTCTTCTTGCCCCTGCTCCACCTCTTCCTCTCCTCTTCCCCACCCCTTTCTGCCCCTCCTCCGAGTGTGCCCTGTCACCTCTCCTCTCCTCCCCCTCCCCAGCACCTCCTGCACACCTATGAACAGCTGTTCCCCGGTGCGCAGGAGGCACTGGGAGGGAGGGAGGGGGAGGAGTTGATCAGCAGGGCCAGCAGCCCCGGACATGATTCTGCCCCCTTCCCCAAGCCTGCCCCATCCCCGCTCCTCCCCCTCCCTCCCAGAACCTCCTGCACATTGCTGAACAGCTCTTCCCCGTATACAGGAGGTGCTGGGAAGGAGGGGGAGGTCCTGATCAGTGGTGCCCGCAGCCCCCCTTGAGTACCCTTGCAGACCCACAGGGATCCAGGGACCCCAGGTTGAGAAACATGCTCTAGAGGTCTCTGATCTAAGCCCTAAGAGTGCTGGAGACAGGGAAGGGTATGTAGATATTTCATTGTTTTATCTGAATAGTAGATCTCTTGGGCCACCTAAAGTAAAGAGTCACTGTTTTAGAATCCCTTTTGCAAAGTCTGTGCAGTATGTACTTCAACTATCACGTGTTCCTGGAGAGGTCACTGTAAACCAGAGTGTCCACAATGTTGGAGCTCTGGAAATGGGTGTGCTTAAGCAACAGGGATATTTTGGGGCTCAGCACAGGTCTTGGGGATCTAGGGCAGCTGGCCTGTGAGGTCCCATTTCCAGAGCATACAATTAACAAAGAGGCACCAACTGCTTCATGGAGCTGTACCTCAAGTTCACCTTAGAAGCTGTATTTGGGAGGAAAGGAGCCCAGGTCATTAAAATGCATTTGTGAAAGCCAGATTATATTGTGGGCCATACTTTTAACATCTCAGATCTGGAGAAAGTCAAAAAGAATGCAGTAGGGGGATTTAAACACAAGCAGAACAATTCCCTTCTGTTTTAGATACCTTTTGCTCTGACCACTGGATGCAATGGAATATATATTTGAAATTACATTACTTTTCAGTATGTTAATTCC